TGCACGATCTGAAAATACTTTCATGATTACTGATCGATAATTTTAGTCCAAGGTGTAGGTTGAATGACGTAAGTTAAGAACTCAAATCCGAAAGACAGGAAATTCGTGGGAATATGTACAAATTTATTCTCTCTCTCTCTCTCTCTCTTTTTCTCTTTCTCTATCTTTTTCTTACTCATTTACAAATGTTTTTAACCTAATTCCTAATCTGGTATTAAAACCTAAGTAAGTCAACAAGTTTTTCTTCCTTCATCAAAATAAGGGACAAACCACGAATTTGGGACGATATCCAAAAGAAGATTATCGTCTTTTCTAATCCCCTAATCTCTCTCTTCCCCTCCCCTCCCCTCCACCAACTTTCAACCAGTCGCATATTTGAAATAGTCGAGATGATGGGTCTATGATAGATCGTCGTGACTATTTCACTTCAACTTATTCTATTTTTGTATCCACCTACGTAAGAATTTCTAGACAGCTTATATTCATGGTTTCTTTTTTTTTTCTTTTTTTTTTTTTAAAGACGATTTTATATTTGCATAATTTCTGCATGTATATATATATATGCACATGTATATGTGTATTTGTATGTATGTTACACGTAGTACGCGGATTTGTAGATCTTTATGCATATTGCATGTATATATGTAAATGTAAAGGTATAGATGTATCACGTGTTCGTATGTAAATGTAAATGTATATGTTATATGCTACGTATTTATGTAAATGTATTATACATATATGTAGGGATATATGCGTGCTCATGTATTTGTGTACGTAGGTTGAAAACGATTACTCGTTTTAAGAAAATACATTGAAAATTTGCTAAGAAGTAGATTCTTTCGAAAATGAAACAAACGTGTTCTATCAACGTCTCGATCTCACGTTTACAGATCAAATTTAAAGATAGTCGATGTTATTTGCTATTTTTAATCTGCCAAGATTTTCGATTAGACGAGAATTACATCTTTTCAAGTTAAAAACATTTTATCTTTTGGTAATCTAATTTCATTCTAAAACAACGAAACACTTATCCTAATATCGTTTACAAAGTTTAGTCAAGCTGATACAAATATATGTATGCGTGATTTGTATATGTGTAAGTATATATTTTGATTTCAATATGCGAATAGTGAAATCATAGAGTCAATGCGCCGTTTGTATGCTGTCCCATCGGAGAAACTTCGTGTTTGGTCTATTTGGTTGTCTCAAATCACCGATGAAGCTGAGATATGGCAAAAATGGTTACGTGCACATATCGATCTTACCATACGAATGGCAGAAAGTTTGAGAGAACTCGAAGAGGATGATGTTTCCAAGGCAAAAGAATTCTGGGTAAAGAATATTTTTCTTTCTAAATATTTTGATATTATTTTTATGATTAGAAATGAACAAATGTACAATAGATAATTCATTATAAATGTATGCAAATGATTGTAGAAATCATGTATATACATTTTATTTTGATAAAATGATGAATCTCTTCTCATGGACTACATGAACTACAAGTGTGTCAAATTTGAAAAAAAGAATCTAAAGTTTACACTTTTGAATCTCTTCTGGCAAAGAACAAAACATAATATACTTTATGAGGGTCATAACATAGTGTATGTAAACACAGAGAGTGTATATATTACTTAAATGTCTTCTAGGAATGACGAGAATTCGTGGAATTTGTACATAAGACGTATACGTCTTACGTAATATAAACAAATCAGTCTCTCGAGTCAACTACCGACAACTTATAACATATGTTTGGAATATATTTGAATAAAATCTATATATGTGATCTTTTCTTATCATTATTTTACAGGATCACTATAGACAATCATTTTGACATAAGACTATTGTAATAATCAGTTTTATGTATGTATAAATATATTGAATTGTTTTCAATTTAATTGATACTTACAGAAAGCTAATCAAATAAGAAGGATTTTTGCATACGAAGAGGATGCCATTGAGGAGGATGGTATTGAGTATCCAGAAGGAGTGAAAGATTTTTACGACAGTAAGATTACGCATTTACTTTGGTGATAAACGAAGATTTTATTCGATTAACTTTGGGAGTTAATAGTAACGAATTGCTTTCTTCGAAGGTTTCTTTTTTTCTTTTTATTATTAATCAATGGTAAAAGAGTATTGGATGATTTCAGAGTTCAATGTTCGGTTAAAAATAATATTACAAACATCTGAAATATTTTTGTAATTAAATAGAAAATGTTTGGGACGACATATGAGCCGTTCAGTGCACACATCGATTAACTCTATAAAACAACAAGTTGAGAAATGCGATATGAAATAATGTATATTGTTGTATTACTTATTATTCAATGAGGAAAAAAAAGTGATGTCGTTTAACTCTTTGTGGCACGATGGTGTGTGGCACACACATACACACACACACACAAATTTAAGATTTTTCAACAAGTCGAGTTAATCGATGTGTACACTGAACGGTTCATATATAAGTGTAAATGTAATTTCTTTTGGTATATATTAATATTCGTTAAAAGTATCTTGTTTTTATTAATGAAAGGAAGAAAGATAAAGAAGAATGAGATGGAATAGGGGAAATAGATAGGAAGAGATCGTAGGAATTTAAGCGGAAATGTCTGATTTATAGGGAATAGCAAGTTATAAACGTTTATCATTCTGTCTTCCTTTTGAAAACAACTAATCAATATTTATGTCTCGCTTGGGATGACAGAACTCTCTCCTTTTCATATCGTTTGATTCACTTGCTTTGCTGGATAGATATATTTTACGAAAAGACGAGGAAACATCCTGGAAGAGCTTTGCAGGCTGCTTTTTTTTCCTTTTTTCATTTTTTTTTCTTTCTTTCTATCTTTCTCTTTCTTACATTAGTCACTCATTCACTCTTTTAACTTTCAAACGATAGATTTGCTTTACAATTTTTCAACGTGAAGATGATACGCAATATAATCCTGCTACCTTCAGATTTAATCCAATAAACGCCAAACTGCTGTTTCCTCTTTTGTCCTCTTATCTTTCTGTTTCTTATTCTTTATTATTATTATTCTTATTATTATTATTATTCTTGTTATTGCTCTTATCATTCTACTCTTTTGCCTTTTTTTTTTTTCACTATCTTCGTCTTTGTTGAAATGTTTGAACCATTGATAATTACTAAGTTTCTGTCTCAAAGTAGGATAGTAGATATATTTTCAAATGTTGCTTGTTAAACTTTATCTCATATTTTGTAAGAACAAACGTTTGTTAATATTCCGGGAATTATCCTGGGAAATGTTGTATTTGACTGATGTTAAAATATGAAAAAGGGGAAGGAAGAGAAAAAGAAAAAGATAGGGGGAAGTTCAATGGGGTGAATATTACATTTTCTTTGACTACTCTTTAACTCTCTTAGATTTTAACGAAGTTTCTGGTTGATAAGGTATTATTGCACAAGTAAATCTTTGAAATCTTTTCAGGAAATGTTTGGTTTCATCATTTTTTTTACATTCTTTATATTTTCATTCAAGACCAACCGCAGTAATTAAATTCTAAATATTTATTTTACTTATAATCAATTTTGTACGTTTCATTATCTCGTTAGTAGAGGAAAAATGATAATAAACGTTTATTAAATTTCATATGCGAGAACAAAATGAATAATGCTAATTGCAACGGTATGTTATAATTATTGAATAATTAGATTATTAAACAAAAGAAAAAAAGAAAAAATAATCAGAAGAGAAGGTAGTATATTTTATTTAATCATACATTTAGTAGTAGCATCAATCGACGAAAATAATGATCAAGTAACGCGTATAATCGTTTTCCCACTCGACCCAGGTATATTTTTATTTTGCATTTTAATATCCATTCGAATAATATCATCGTTAGCGTTCTCATTATCTTTCATTTTGTTTTTTTTTCTTTCCTTCCGAATGATTTCAAAATTATGCGAATATCCGAGCGAAGAAAGGAACGCGATTCTGTTTCCTTCCTTTATACAGAAAAAATTAATATCGTCGATCCAATTAATTGAAAAAGCCACGAGTCACTTGATTATCTCGAATGATCTTGATTTCTCGTTCATCCCTTTTTTCTCTCTCTTTCTCTCTCTACTTTTCGCTACGAGTGCTCATCTTTTTTTCCCCTTTTTAATTTTCTATTAGTCAAGCAAACTTGACGTTTAACAATCTTTCATCATCTCGAAAATCACTGCCGTGGCTGGCTATTATTCTTCAAGCGATTTCATTTGATTCACTAGGACTCTTTTTAACTACTCTCTTATCTTCGTTAATTATAATCTAAAAAATAAATTTTCAGTTAATTCGAAAATCAAATAAATGAGATATTAATTAAAACGTAAAGAGCAATTTTTTTTTGCTGACAAACTAAATGAAATTTATTTTCAAAAAAAAAAAAGAACAAATGTGTACAGATCACGCGTGTTAGAAGTGAAACCTTCAAAGAAAACCAAGCTTCGAGACGTGAATTGAAAGAACCTTACAGAATCTAGATAACCTTTCTGAATAAAAATCTTTAAATTAGTAATAAAAAATAATTAAAAAAAATGTGCTAAGTTGGCAAAAATCACGTGAAATAAAATTAATTTTCATTAAGATAAGTTGAGTATAGTTTCGAAATAATTAATGGACAAACATATTGTGACACTGAATTTTTATTTATAGAATTTAATGAATTATTTTTCTTTCATCTTCCGTTTCACGTTGTTCCATTTCACGATTTTCAAATCACCCTGATTCTAAAGTAGTTTTAACTTCAATAATTTATTCAAAACTACATCAGACGTTAACATACAATTGAATTATTCAAACTAAATAAAATATTTCTCTTCGATTCACGTAGCATCATCAATCATAGTTAAATAAATAAATAAATGGTAGAATCATAAAAAATATAAATAGGATTTTGATTAGAAAATGATAGGATATTCACCCCCCTTTGGATGTATAAATGTTTAATCAAAAATTTGTTATGCCAGTCGAACAAGTGCTGGCAGATATCGTAGCTGGTGAGGAAAAGTCAGTTGAGATGAAGAATATGGAAAAGGAGGAGGGCAATAAAGGAGGAGAAACAACGAACGAGAAGGTGGTGAATGAAACTGAGAAGGAAACTGAACAGGAGAATCGTATGGGTAGTGGTGTCGACCAACAACCAGAGGAGACTACCAACGAACGAGATACGTGAGTACGAACGTGATTCGAATAAATTTTGATCTAGGATGTGTAACTTGATCATTTAAAATACTCTCTCTCTCTTTCTCTCTTTCTTTCTTTTCCTTCTTCTGTCTCCTTTTTTATTATGTTTTTCTTTTTTTAACTCAAACAAATGTCTCTCCAACGGAAAAGTTAATTAAGATAATATTAGTACTCTATTTAGATATGATCATTTTAATATCATCATCAAATTGATTTGTATAATTTTCATCATTTATTTATATTGAAAATTAATTGAATTCTTTTTCTACGATAATAAAATAATTTCAATTAATATCATAATTACAAGAATAACGTAATTCTTCTTAAGTATTATCGATRAAACGAAGAAAGATAAGAAAGAAGAAGAAGTCATTGAAGAATCAGAGTATTTGAAAGAGTGGCCAGTGGGAACACAATGGGAACCCTTTGGAATTCCACAGGAAGATGAGGAGGATCGTTCGGATATTATTGAAGTAACCTACTCTTACCAATATCTTTCGTTTCGTAGATCCACATTTAATTCGTAGCTCGTTAAATAAAACGGCTTCATCGAGATAGAAATCTTGTAAAGATCAGAATAATGATAACGAGATTAGGTGGGTATCAAGAATCCAGATACGATATTATTACCTAGGATTCGTGTTCAAATCATATTTTTCGATAGACTAGTATTATCTACGATTTTACAATGAAATAGATTCATCTTTTTTTTTTTTTTCATTTACTTTCAATAAAAGATTCTTCTCTTGTATCGATTATTAAATATACGTTATCAACGTATCGATAAATAAATAATGAACCTTTTTCGATTTAAAATTGTAGCCAATAGAATTGCCAAAATGTGCAGAAGAAATGCGACGATTCTTAGAAGATTTTACCTATCAAGCAACGATCTATAGATCATATTTCAAACACTGGTGGGAGACTAGCGAACAGGTAAACTTAATTCGATGATTTGAACTTTTATCACGAAAGACAAAAAATGAATTTTTGTATAAGAATATTGTTGAGTGAACAATGGTAGAGGTGTTAGTTTGTTCAAACGATTTGTAACGAGAGACAAGAAATAATAGAAAAAGATAATACACAGTTAGCGTAATTCATGTAAACAATAGGATTTGAAATAGGAAAATTGTTTTGCTTGAAGAGAATAGAATGTATTTTGGTGGCATGCTTACTGTATACAGAATGCATGTATTCCTACAATGTAAAGTTCTTATCCGCATGCTCCGAGCGTGCAGAAATTTACGTGAAAAGCAGAGATCGTCCATCCTTTCGTTGGCTTCCTGGTTGGCTGGTTGGTTGGTTGGTTGGTTGGTTGGTAGCTTGCTTGCTTGCTTGCCTAACGAATTCAATTTGTAGAAACAAATAAATTGTAGGAAATGCAAATACCCGAGCGATATAGAATCGGTCCTTTGAATGCGTTTTTCGCTTCAAGGATTTTATCCATTTCGATGGGCTTCCGTTCGGATTGGACATGGAAAAAGGCAGAGATAGATACTCGGGGAAAAAAAATAAAAGAGAAAAGAAAAAGACAAAGACAGTGTGATAGAGGGATAGGAACGAAAAGACGAATGGGAAACAGAAAATCATGCGATTGTATGTGTACACGTGTAGGTGTCAGTGAATGTTAAAATATAAGCAAGCAAGGTTTTACACGTGTAGTAGTATTTAGATATACAGAATGTTCAAAAATCAATTCAGGATTTTACGGTTTTATTCTTGTTTTTATTTAAGCGTAACGTAAATTATGCATCAACGTGAATTTGAAAATAATTGAATTGTTTTTCAGGCGATCAAAGAAATCACTGGTAGAACTGTAATGCCTACTGCTAAATTACAAGGTATTTTGAACGATAAAGATCCGCAAGAAACTTTAAGACAGTGTTTCAATTACCCAAAGGATTCATTCTTGTTAGACGATACAGGTGTTTTGTCTCCTGAAAAACTTGCCGAGATGAAGGTACGTTTTATTAAATTATTCCAAGAGATAAGATCTTTATTAGTATTCAGATTTAAATTAGATTTAAAAAATTCATTTAATTTTAGTAAATTTAATAAAACAAAAAAATAAGTATGAACATTTTTGCAAATAGATTTTGTCATCGATTTTTATGTAATACAAATTACATTTTTTTTTTTTTTGGTATGAGATCAATCAACTAAGTGTATTCTAGGATAGATCGATAGATCTTATCTCTCAGTTGACTTTTCGGATCCTTTATATAAATGAAAGAAAAATATAAATACAGGCTCTATCAGAACGAATCGGTACTCTGGAGTTTATCAAAGAGATGGCACGAGCTAACGAGAAAATACCGTATTTTTTTTATCGAAAAGCTGAACCAGACGTAGAAATAGCAATCAAGCACGATGACGAAAAAGTAATCCCATTGGATCCAGATATGGAGGTTATTTTTGGTAATTACAGTAGTCTTCGTTTCAATCTTAACGATAAACCCGGTAAAGGTAAAAATTCTTGCATACGAAACTACTAAACTAAATTTATTTCTATGATTTAACTCGTTTCATAATAATCATACATTGTTATTTATTTTCACAAAAAAAAATAAAAATAAACTGTAAATGTGCATATTTTTAATGAATTTATACACGTTCGTGAGACAATGAGAATAAAATAAAAAAGGAGAGAACGGTTGAAGTATTTATGAAGACTTATCGTGTCTTTAATTATTTTTGTTGAAAAGATTATAAAGTTATATTTATGTATTGCAAGATAAAGTTAATTTATTACTCATGTATATTCACATATATACATTTATATTTACATATACACGCAAATATTGTATTTATATATATATATATATATCGTCTTTAAACTCGTTAGCAAAGTTGTAACTTGAAACATTGATAAAGTGTGTAACGAATGTGTAATATTCGTCTGTGTATCTGCGCGAACATAGAAAAGTGTACGTAGTAACATAGATAAGGAGACATTATAAGAAAAGAGACTGTGTTAAACTGTTGACGAAAACTGCAAAACAATGATTAACGTTCGACATTTCCATGGTTACTTTCTTTAAATACGTTTCTACACTGTGCGTACACTTCAGATGAAACTTTAGATTTCGTCGTCTCGTTCTCTATTTCTTCGTTGCCTTTTCTCAATTTGCATTTGACTCATATACTATACATTTAACTAGTCTTTATGTGTATATACGTTTATCTTGAATTTTCGGAATAGTCAGGAGAGAGAAGAAGAGGAGGTGGGTTCGATTCGGTTCGTTTTACGTTTCAGTAGTCAACGTGTTGCAAAGGAAACTTGTCTTTCCGAAGATTTCCTTTCGGCATTTAATTTCGCGACGTTCATCGAAACTTTACCGTTGGGATAAATCGTTCTTAACGATAGACTTCATTGGATTTTCCCTACCAAGCTTTTCACGAAGATCGCTTGTTTTGGGAGAAAGTAAATAACATTTTCCTATCTTTACTGGTACTACCAAATGTGATATATATATCTTCTATCCAAGATTTATTCGATACTTTAATTATTTCTCATTTTCTTGAAGGAAATATTTTATTTTTTTTTAAGTAAGGACACCTTTTGTCACCTGGTCATTGATTCTCAGTTGCTTAATTGAGGTGGCCTTTTTTATTTTTTTATTTCACCGTTTCTTGCTTTGTTCATTTCTCTCATTTATTCTATTGTTCTAATCCGTATTGTTTCAGATTTGCATTTGTGCATATCTTTTATTCAGAACGTATGAATGTACTCTATGCATCTTTCTCTTACTTTTTGTTATTTATACTAAAATATTTACACATATGTGAAGGTTTTATGAATATATGGAATTTGTTATTTTGTGTTTACGAAAAATTAGAAGTAGTATCTTTGGTAATTTATAATCTTTAAACTGTCTGAAGTAATAAATCTTAAATCTGAAAGAGAAATATAATCTATGAGAATTGACATAATTAAAAGTTAAAGTTATTAAATATTTATCAAATAGATCAAAGTAATGCAACTATATATGTGCTTACTAAATTACATACCACGTATGTAATATTAGTAAAAATATTAATTAAAAATATTTAAAGTTGTGTAAATAAATCAGTAATTGTATCATCAAATTCAATAAAGAATACCATAAAAAATAAACCAGTTTTGAAATTATTCTATGCAATGGAAAATTTTTTAAACTATTTAAAATTAAAACGATAAGATTAGAAATCAAATTATTAAATAATTGAGTAGACCAAATGTGTATTTTTTTTTTTTTTTTGTTTTGTTCAGAGTGATCTCTCGAATTATAATGTTTAATACCTGACCAGTTGTTGTGTATGGTCAAATGGCACTAGCTATCAATCATGGGGTCTTCATTTTATTCGCGTCTGTGGTGACAGGCAGTTGAGCTTGTACGAGATGCGTCATTGACATAAAAATTGACCTCTCTCTCTCTAAATCTCACTGACCACTTTCTGCACGTTTAATCATTTACACGTGACGTCAATTTTTTTTCCTCACAAATTTTCATCATTTCCTCCTTTTTTTTCCCCCTGACATTTTCATTTAATAAAATGAACATATTACGAGCAAAATATTCTATACTTTTTGTTAATATTGTTAAAAAGTGAATTGTCCAATGATTTAATAAATTATTTCAATAAGATCAATCGTATAATTTGTATAATTGCATTAGATCAATAGTTAATATAATTAGAAATACATATTTGCATAGAGTTGCTTTAAGCTATTATCATGGTGAGCCTAAAACAAAGGATCCATGTATGTATATCGCATTAGAAACATCGAAGGACAAGCAACGCAGTGATTATGCTGTACACGCTTCCGTTCGAATTAATGACAAGCTCGTGCATGTTTCTATGCATGCATATATGGATACGTATGTGGCAACATACGCAGAATAGGTTGCTAGTGCATGTATTAGCAAGAATTAACGTTGCAGCACGATCAGTGGAAAACAAATTAGGTATGTGCCATTAGGTAACGCGCTTCCTCAAACTGATTGTTTCTCACGTACGTGAATTTATCGAATTTTCGAATGATTATCGAAGAAATATCGTTTTCTTAACTTTCAAGAATTAACATCTTTTTCTTCTTATATATTAGGTCGAGTCATAAGTAACCATGAAAAGTGTCGTGCACTTATTAGTGATAGAAACACCATTCTTTGTCTCATAAAAAACAAAAGTTATTTATGACTCGACCTAATATGTAGTTTAACATCGATTAGATGCATTTTGGTTTTCTGTCGATTAATTATCATAAATGTATTTCACTTTTTGAAGTTAACGACATATGAAATATCATAAATATCAGGAGAAAAGTACAAAAACGTCCGAGAGAGTGTGTGTGTGTGTACGAGTGTAAGTCATAGTCAATTGATATTCAGACGAGTTAAGGCTCTCAACGTTATATCATAAAATAGTTCAAATAAAAGTTCCATTTCAACATGATTCGAACTTTTCGAGCGTGCATGTTAAAGTACCTCTTTTCCATTAAAAATTTTCAAACTAACTTTGGTCCCACCGCGGCAGTTAAGTTTAGACATATTATTTGCAGGAAAAAAAAAAAGAAAAATAATAAAAGAAATAAAAAGAAGAAGAAGAAGAAGAAGAAGAAAAAAAAGAACCAAAGAACCTAATTTTACAAACGCACAAATAGAAAGAATGAATATTTCTTTTGGAAGTATTACAAAACGAATAGGATAGTAAGATGGATGGATGGATAGATAAATAGATATACGTGTATCGATCAAATGTATCTCGTATAGAAATTTCATTTAAAAAGATTACAAGAATCTTTGTGAAATTTCTTCTTCTTCTTCTTCTTCTTCTTCTTCTTCTTCTTCTTCTTGGGAATTAGATTAAAACATTTTAAGGAAAGAAAATATATCTCCTATTGTAGGATTATGTTCAAAATTGGTGCCTATAAAAATGGGATTATGGGAAAGGGTGTCAAAATCTATGTAGTAGTAGTAGATTGTAAGTATACATCAACTGGATATTAATCCTACTAAAGTTCTTTCTGTTTCTCTCTCTCTCTCTCTCTCTCTCTTTCTCTCTCTCATACACACGTGCACATGCATATATAGGAAGGAAACACAGCAAAGGGGAGTTTTGAAATTTATTAAGCCCGGTGGTAACTTTGTTCGTCTCTACTACAACACGCCATCGAGCATTCCGGAGAAACGTTTATCGAAAGCTCAACGAATACAAGTAGAAGAGAGAGAGAGAGAGAGAGCATACACACGTCTCTGGAAGATAAATCGGGTAACGTTTCCTTTCGCCTCGAGTAAACGTCAACGATTAAAGCTCGAGCTTTTGCGTTCTTTTTTCCTCACATTTTTTTCCCCCTCTCTACTCCCACCACCCATCCTTTTTTTTTTTTTTTTGATTTTTTTTAATTTCTCTAGCTTTCCTCGCAAAAAAAAAGAAGAAAAAAGATAGGATGAAACGATAAAGCATAGAAAGGAGGATACACTTTTCTTCCTATTGACGAGTTCGCTGTTAAAATAAAAAAAAATAAAAAAAATAAAATAAAAAAGATGAAATAAAAGAAACATTGAAATTATACTCGCAACGATACGTCATCGATTAAACCGTTATGCTCATGTTCCAACATCTTGCACTCAACCACGAATATTTTTTCTCTCTCTTTCTCTCTCTCTCATGTTCACTTATATACAGTATTTTATACTTTCCAGTTCGCTTTCCCGTTGCAACGAGCATGGAGGACACACAGCAACGACGTGAGATCGAGTTACGACCTCTTTTATTCGAGATACATACATACATACATATCTCACACAAACGCACGTACTTATTTATATGATATGTATGTATATGTATGTATTATGTATATAGATTTTTGTTCTATCATTTTTTCTCTCGCAGAGCAATTCTTTTTAAGCTTTGCTTTTTTCGCATAAAAGGTGTGGGAGGTTGGGGAGAGGACTGGAACATATAGAACAATGAAGAAAACTCTCTGAAACGGTGCAAGGTTTTTTTTTTTCTTTTTTTTTTTTATACTTGTCGACGACCCCTCTTTTCCTCGTATCCTTCACTGCTCAGTTAGATCACTATTACTTGCTGAGAGAATGTTCTCTTTTTATAATAAAACTAGTACCCTCTTTTCTTGCTCATCTATCTGTCTGCTTGTCTGTCTATTTGTGTCTATTTGCGTTGTCAATTGGAACGATTAAATCATTCCTATATCCAAAATTATTAGAAAATCACATTCCCATTATACTTTCGTTTCTCTGTCTCGTCACCATGAAAATCCTACTTTAACGGTGAAAGTTAAATTACTTTGAAGCCAGTAATTAATTTCGTGACGTATTTTAGAAGTCTTTGGTTGAAAAGGAAAGGAGCGCAATAATGTTTCATTCGTGATGAAAGAAAAGGGTTTAAGGAGGTAAGGTACTAGGTAGGTGGGTGGATAAGAAAACTCTTTAAAGAACGAAAGACAGAGAGAGAGAGAGAGAGAGAGAGAATGAGAATGAGAATGAAGCTG